GTGTGTTGTGAACCCCCCCCCCCCCCATGCTCTCGGGACATGTCTGCAAACACCTGTGTCCTTACTAGAGATGAGCCTGGACTTGGTGCAAACGTTCATTGTGCCTTGACAATGGCGGGCCGACAGCCTGCTTCTGACAGCTGGGCGGAGGTGGGGATATATTAGAGAGCAACTGAACATTTTTTTCTGAAGATGATGTGTTGGAAGCAGAAAAAAAAATGGGCAAGCTTAAAATAGAACTATGGGGTAATTGTTTTTCCCCTTAGTTCTCTTTAGGGTCACGGGAGGACAAATACTAACCTCTTCCCTGGGCCCAAAAGCTCAGAATAATGAGAGCGAGCCAGGATGGATCCTGACTATACTGTCGAGGTCCACCCAGCTACGTGAGTGACAGCTGGCTCTGCCTATCTAGAGGCAGAGCAAGCTGTGCCCGCCCCCTCCCCTGTTAATTCCTCCACTCAACGCTGGAGGATTGGAGAGGGGAGAGGGGATCCCCTGCGGGGAGTGGTGACTGACAGTTACTGTTCACTGCAGAGAGATGATCGAGAAGTGAGTGGATTGGCTGCATGTTAATGTTCACTTCCTGATCAATAGAGCCGACCTGTGACATTTTCTTTGCCTCACAGTTCTCCTTTAAGGATTTAAGTGGCTTTGACAAGGGCCAAATTGTAATGGCTGACTGGCTCAGTGTAACTCCAAAACTGCAGCCCTTGTTTCTGGTCTGTAATGGTCAGGACCTACCAAAAGTGGTCCAAGGAAGGAAAACTGGTGAATTAGCCGAAGGGTCATTGCGGCCAAGGCTCATTGATGCATCTGAGAGGCGAAGGCTGGCCTGTCCGATCCAATAAAAGAGCTACTGTATCTCAAACTGCTGAAAAAAGTGAATGCTGGTTTCGATAGGAAGGTATCTGAACACATCGTGCATCGCAGTTTGTTGCATATGGGGCTGCATACCCACAGACCGGTCAGGGTGACCGTGCTGACCTGTGTCCACTACTGATCGCACCTTTAATGGCCACGTGATCATCAGAACTGTACGACAGAGCAATGGAAGAAGGTGGCCTGGTCTGGTGAATCACGTTTAGCCTTTACATTATCTGGAAGGATGAATGTGTGTATGTTATCTGGTGAAGAGATGGCACCAGGATGCTTTATGGGAAGAATGCAAGCCAGCGGAGGCAGGGTGATGCTTTGGGCAATGTTCTGATGGGAAACCTTGGGTCCTGTCAGTCATGTGGATGTTACTTTGACACTTACCACCTATCTAAACATTATTGCTGAGTACACCCCTTACATGGGAATGGTATTCCCTGATACCTGAAAAAGGAAAAGTAATACAGCACCATATCTAAGGAACGGCAAGCTGCAATATATTACATCTTTGTTCTTGGCTTTAGATACACTTCATTTCACAACTAAAGCTAGCATACAGGATACCTGCTTATGAAGAGTTGGTTATGGTTTGACTGATGTATCGGTATTACTGAGTGCATTGGGGTTCCGCAAAACTGAGCCCAAACATTACACTTCACACACACTCCGCATCTGAGATCCGCATTAGACATAACCGTCGACTGTTACAGGTAATGGGGTTACCTTTAAAACAGAATTGGTGAGCCAATGCACTATAATAATAAAACTATGGGTTCTCATCATGTGTATTTCAAGTATATATATCTATAATAATAAAACTATGGGTTCTCATCATGTGTATTTAAAGTGAAACAATAATGGTTTTAGGCCATTGTACCCTAATTTGTTTAGCTTTAAAGTTTTTAACTTTTTTTTTCCAATAAAAGTTTTTATTGAGTTTAACAGTGCAAGTACACACAGACATGTTATAATGCCAACTGATGCCTGTGGTTAGCAGGACATCCATATACAACTAGATAAAACATAAAACGTATCACAGTAATGGAAAGGCACAGGATTGGTTCATAGGGAGTAGCATCCAAACCCATCTCAGCTGTTATCGTGTAAATTCGGTCATATCCTAGGCGGTAAGGGGCCGTGGAGGGGATTATCAGATAGGATTCACTGCTTAGTCTGTAGGGGGTTTGTAACCCGTGTAGTCTGGAGTGGTAGAAGTGAAGACTACATTCCTCCAGCTCAAAAGCAGTCCTATGGACCAATTGACGTTTACCTTGTGCTTGCGATACTTAAGACACTACAACATAAAATACACGGGGAGACACAGGGGACAACAGTGGGGGGATAGTAGGGCTGGGAAAGAAGAGGAGAAGAGGTAGAGAGGAGGGTACTGGTCCGTACACTAGAGTGGAAGGAACACTCGCTTGAATACCTGTTTAGAGAGTTTCCTATATGACACAGGCGGCGGGATGTAGGTGAGTTGAAGTATTTATCTATCCACGGTGACCAAATTGTCTCAAATTTGTGCATAGTGTTCTCAAGTTGTGCTGTGCGTTTTTCTTGGGCCATAATCCAGTGGACATGTGTAATTACATGTGATACGTTAAGGGACTTCGAAAGCCAGTTTATTGCAATTTCTCTTTAAGCAGAGGACAGGAGGTGGAGGGAGAGTCTGAAGGCTTTTTTGGGGAGACCTGTCGGTTTACAATTGAGTAATGCAAAAGTCGGGTCTTTAGTCAATGATTCCGAGACCAGTGTAGTCAAGAGGGGGAAATCTATCCGATAGGTGGTTTCTTAGCCCCCCATGTAATAGCAATAAAGTTGTGTGTGTAAAAAAAAAAAAAAGTAATACAAAAATGAAAGATTAATTAAAAAAAATAAAGAAGCATAACATTTTTAAAAAAAACACATTTTTTTTAAGTCCCCGCCCCCGACATACACACGCATATATGCGTCAGGTGCGCCTACATGCAGCACATGTTGCATATTGCCGCAAACGGCGGAGTGAGAGCAATAATTTTAGAGCCACCTGGGCGTTTTACAGCGCTGATCGACGCGCTGTAAAACGCCCAGCAAATGAAATCCCATTATTTCCTATGGACATGGTTCTCACTTGGGTGTATTTCAGCGTGTCGGAAAGTGCTGAAAAACGCCCTACGCACAAAGATGTACAGGAGCTTCTTTGGGGCGTATTTCCGTGCGTATCCATTAGGATACAGCCGGATAGCCCTTGTAAACGCACATTTGATGCGCGTTTTGAGGGCTGCAAATCGCGGTTAAAACATGCACCCCAAAACGCGCATCATACACGCATATGTATCGAATGCCTAGGTGGGAACCCAGCCTAAAGGAGAACTATGAGGTGAGTGCTTTTCACTCACCTCATAGTTCTAGCTGACCTGCGACAATGAGACTGTCACGTGTCGGCTTAGTATATCGGGAAGTGAGCGAACACATACCGGCGTTCGCTCACATCTCGATCCTGTCACGGCTCTCTGCCGTGACAGGGGAGGGGCTGGATTCCTCCCGCTCCGATCCGCCAGCGCTAACTGGCGGAACAGATGGGGGAGGGGCAGGTACAGCTGGCTCTGCCTCTAGATAGGCAGAGGCAGCCGTCACTCACTCAGCTGGGCGGATCCAGACATAATTGTCGGGATCCGCTTCAGCTGCGGCGTCTCAGTATACCGGAAGCTGCAGCTCCCTATATACTGAGCTTAGGGTGACGGGAGGATGCTAGTTTGTGTCCTCCCGTTACCCTAAGGAGAACTATGGGGAAAAGCCCTAACCCCATAGTTCTCCTTCAATCACTGATAACACCAAACTGATGAACAGTAAAAGCGTTTTAATCGTCGCCTATGGGCGTTTTTTTTCGATTTTGCGGGCGCACGCAATTTTAAGGCTTGACATGTTTGGTGTCTATTTACCCGACGTGACCCAGACTTTTATGTTTTACAAAAAATACGGGTAAGAATAAATGTTTTATAACATAACGTAGGGAAACGTTTTTGTTTTTTTCTATTTCTACATTTATGGTACTTTTTTTTATTATATAGTAAAAAAAAAATACCCCCCCTTTCACCCCCCCGTGGTGATTATATACCTCCAAAAGAAAGCTCTATCTGTCCCCAAACTTTTTTAACATAAATTGCAAGGCTATAGTCTGGTCATGCTGACTGGTGAAATTTTTGACTGACTGGTGAGACACTATCAAATTTTTCAAGCCCTGTGTATATATATCTATATATATATACACATACACATACACATACACTTACTGTATGACCTTTTTGCCTTTAAACATTTGGGTGAAGTGATTTTGAGAAATATTTTAAGTCTATATGACTTATTAATCGAGGAGAATGATCTTTATTTTTAGACATGTGACGGTATTATTTACCATACATAGAATGCAGATGAAAATAAGTGTCACTCATTTAAAGATAGGGATCCTAATGTGTTAGCTTTATGAATTGAGCCCTATGAGTCATTCTATTACAGGGTACCCTGCCATTAAGTGCAATTCATATTGAAGGAAGCCTAGCCTGGAATGGAAGACTGGAATTTCAAATTACAGGCAAGTCTCTCTCTCTCTCTCTTTTCTCTCTCTCTCTCTCTTTTCTCTCTCTCTCTCTTTTCTCTCTCTCTCTCTCTCTCTCCCCTCACATTAAA